TGTAGTGATTAAAAGATCTAGTTACTCTTCCGCTGAGCAACACATTTTTTTATAATTATTTTATTTTATTTTATGTTATTAATGTCGATATTTTTATCATATCCTATTCTTTATAATAAATAAGCATAAGGCTTTAACATCACACGAGCCAAACTTTTTGAGTTTACCACTAGCTATTCAAGCACAAATTTTCAAAATCATTAATAAGTGGGATAAAATGTAGTTTAAAAAAATTATTATTGATAAGTGAGATAGAGGTGTAGTTATTGACGTAGGTCTATAGATTTTTTATTTTTAGGAACTATATATATATATATACATTCTTGAATGTATTGGAAGGACATGGTTGAATTTCGTAAAAGATAACAAGACGCCCACATTCCAATTTTGTTTTAAATATTGGGACACTGATTTATAATATATTATTATGTTGTTATGACTTTAGGAGTAATTTTGACATTTTGTCTTTGCCCTTTTTTTCTTTTTTTATTGCTAATCATAAAGTACGGTTAATTTAGTAATTTTACTACCAAAATTATGATTTGTCTTTATTTTCACAAATTGAAAACAGTAAGGGAGTTTTTCAAACAATAGGGGGTAATTGTACATTTTTGCATGCTTTGAGGAGGTTTTTTGCAACTGTATTTTAATAGACGAAAACTTTCTTAAAAGGCACACAAAATTGTACTGAAACTATTTTACTCACTCCTCGAAGAAGTATTTTTTGATTTATTTGAAAAAAAAAAAAAAAAAAAATTCTTTCCTTAATTTTGACATCAATATTATTAATACTTGTACTATTTTATAATAAATTACTAATATTTAATTGAATAATTTCATTTGAGGTCAAACTCTATTTATGAGCACAAAGTGTTTAATACACCATCGGTCCCAAAAAAAAAAAAAAAAGTGACCCTTTTTAGAAACTGTTGTGAGTCACAATTTTAAAAAAGGGTCACTTTGTTTTGGGACGAATGAAATATAAGATTGGAGTACATATATATATATAATCATACTATTTCTACATTAATAGTATTAATTATTAGTTTATATTGTTGGGATAAGGAGGTGATTAATTTTGTGTATATATATATGTATAATATATATATATAAAACTAAATTAAAGATCACAATATACATCAAATTCTATTAAGTAACACTATTTCTAATTCAAAGTTATATACGTAGGATTACTGTTAAAGCTTCAGAATTACTACTGCATACAGCCAAACCTTGGATGAGGGAGTGATATGGCTGCAAATAATCTGAGCTGCGATCGAGTCATATCTCCTATTCCTTCAATATGAGTATGGCGGCAAATAAACTGTGTTGTTCTACATAGCTCGGTTTGTTTTGTAAACGAACGATCTCAAACATTATTAGGCCCCATTTATTTAGGCTTGTGAGTATTAAATTTTTGTAGGACCCGTGAGATTCATGAACATATCCATAAATATAAATTTATATGCTCGTAAAGACTAATTTCAGTTCATGAGCAAGGGAAGTAGATTTTGAACACGAGCTCTAACCAACTCCAAACACAAATATGATATCAAGGTTAACTTTATATTATTTTTACTATTATTATTTTATTTTTTATTAGGCAATTATATGTGAGCCTCTTTTCAAATAGTGTCGAGTTGACTTGAAGTCGATTTTTCGAACTTGTCAAAATTCAAAGGAAAATAGAACTTGAATGAGCTCAAACCAAGTTCAAATGCGAATTTGATATTTTGGTTAACTTTATTATTATTATTATTATTATCTTTTTTATTAGGCAATCAGAGGTGAGCCGAATTAGAGCTTTTCAGATATTGTCGAGTTTCAAATTGAAAACACAAACAACTGCAAATTTAAGAATGAGATCGATTCGAGTTGAAGGGTTCAGATGTCAATAGGAACAATGGTGATACCATGACTTTGTACCATGGAGAAGTTGGTTGAGTTGGATGATTGAAGCCTCTTGAAAGCAACTGTGGGAGGAGCTGTATGTAGGTCAACTTGTACCTCATTTAGGTACTAAATTATGCCGGGATTGTAGGGAAGTGTGTTTATATATGAACATAGGTTCATGAATACGTTATTAAATATAGACTTATATGCTCGTGAACTTGTACTCGTTTAAGTTCATGAACCAGAAAAAGAGATCTTGAGTGCACTCAAACCAAGTCCAAACATGAATTTGATATCAAGGTTAACTTCTTTTTTTTTTAATTATTATTATTATTATTTTCTTTTTTATTAGGTGACCCGAACCAAAGCTTTTCAGATATCGTCAAGTCCCGAATTAAAAACACAAATAGCTGAAAATTTAAAGATGAGATTAAGAGCCGAAGGGTTCAAATGTCAATCGGAACAATTGTGATTTATGTGAGAGTATATATATTACTGTACCATTACTTTGTCGGATGGAGAAGTTGGATGAGTTGGATGACTGAAGCCTCTTGAAAGCAACTGTGGGACTGTTGTATGAAGGTCAACTTGTACCTCGTTTAGGTACTATCTTATGCCGGAATTACCGGCCAGACTCGTATAGATTGAAATTATTATTATAGAGCGCAGGCCCCACTAAGGCTTCTGAAAAATTGTGGTCAGATCGAATTAATCTCTCTCTCTCCCTCGACGCGTCATATTATCATCCATACAACTAACAGATCAATAGCTTATCCTACTCTTTATGCTTGTGACATTACACTGAAAAAGCACATTCTCATGTGAACTTCTTCTCCTGAAATAGCAGACAAGAGGTCCTACAAAATGTTCGGATAGTTGGTTGATTTAACCTTTCATGAGAATTAATAAAGTTCTGCGTGAGTTCCAATTTTGTACACATCTAGGCAGCAATTTAATGAGGAAAATGATTTATTTAAAATGAATTGAGTAAACTCCAAGCTTGGTAAGTACAAGAAAGTGTGACTTTTCACTTTTTTTTTATATTTAGTAAAGATAACAAAATCTATACATCAGAAAATTTACATAAAAAATTCGGCCAAATATCACTATTATGATATGATAATAAAATGTAGAAATCACTCGTATGGAGGTCACTGTTTTCAAAAGATGTTTTGTACCCTCTCACATGGAGAGGGGAGTTTTTAAGAGAGATGAATAACTTTCACTACGAGAAGTACACATACCAAGTTATAAACTGTCCGGCGTAAAAATAAATAAATCAAAGAAATGGACACTGAATTAATTGATATTTCTTTAGATTAAAACTTGATGATGCCAAGGAATTGGGGCATATTATCAGTCCAGTGGAAGACAAATCCTACACTTGATTTGGACGGATGGAACTAAAATGAGTGGATTCGAAGTTCAAATTTTAAGTAGACAAAATTTTCACCAACATCGACTTTCACTCCAAATATTCAAAATTAGTAACATCCATCAAGAGGACTGCTACCTGCAGTGCAGTCGCATGCTTGACTGTCCTTCTACAGCCGCACTTTTGATTAGTTGAAAAATCAATAAAAGGTATATTTAATACATCCTTTCTATTTTCATAAAACTTTAAAACTTAACATTTTAGGATCAAATTAGTCTTTAAAACTTAACATTTTCCTCTCCCGCCATACACATATAATCTTCCTTCTCTAATTCATTACATATATATTATTACCTTCATTCTTGCATTTAAATTTTTTTATTTAATAATAATTGTTTATTCATATTGGTGAAAAACAAACTATATATATATATATATACATACATTCAGAAAGAAGAAGAAAAAAAATTGATGTGAATGGATAATTTCCTTTACTTTTCTTTTCTTTTTTTTAAATTTCCTTTCCTTTTCTTTTTTTTAAAAAATTTCCTTTCCTTTATTTACGATATATTAAACCATTCTCATTTCTCTTTTACACATTAACTAAAACTCAAATTTTATAATTTTAATTCAATTAAAACTCAAATTTCACAATATTACTTCAATTACAACGTAATAATGGTGAAAACTAAAGAATCCATCAACGTGAGCATATATATATATATATATATAAAGACAATTGTACAAAAAGATAAATAATAAATGTTATATATATATATGTAAATATATACAAACGAAAAAAAAAATTAAAGACTAAGAATTTTAAAGCCTAATTTGGTCTTAAAATGTTAAGTTTTAAAGTTTCATGAAAATAAGATAAATGTATTAATTAGATCTTTTATGATTAAAATTATAACCAATCAGATGCACGAGTGTCCTTCTACAGTCGCATGCGCGACTGTAGCTAGCAGTCCTCCATCCAACAAATATCTAGACCAACTACCCTATTCTTAAAAGCTAATTACGGATCTATTAACTTCCGCTCTACAATAATTTTTTTTTGGACCAAATTGCCTTGTACCCCGCAATCCAATGTTCTTTCACATCAAAGCTCTTTTTCAAATAAATTCAAACTTCGAATTAATTTGGTTTGAGGGAATGATTGAGAGGATGAATGAGAGGAGGGATGAATAATGTGATGACTGTGTCATCTTTTCCTTTTCGGGATATATTTTTATTTATTTATTTATTTATTATTATTATCATTTCTTTTATTATTTTTATTTTTATTTCTTTTCGGGTTACCTTAGGGTTTTGTAGGACCCGAGATAGGGTTCGGTGTCCGAAATCGATTTTCGACACCACGCGCATTGCATTAATTTATCTTTTAGTGTCAATACTTTATTTAATTTCATAGAAAAACATGCTCATTAAATTTTTATTTTCTGGGGGTATGAATGCATAGTTTCTTCATAAACATTTTCATTTTTCGGGGTGTTTTGCGTAATTAAATTTTTGAGAGTTTTTTTTTTCCCCTAAATGAAGGAGTATATTAAAATATAAACAAGATAGTACAAAGAAAATTTTGTGGGCATACCCTCATAAAGAAAACAACCAAAGTCCTAAACAGGACACTCAAAATCCTTAAACAAGGACAGCGAAAAAAAAAAGGACAATAAAAGGAAAGTTACAAAATGTTCTGAAGAGGAATCCCCAACACATCAAGCACTTCTCAAAAAATACATTTAGCTAATTCCTTAGCCTCTCTAACACATTTATCATGCAATCTATTGTTTCTCTTCCACCATAGGAAATAAAGAGAAGTAGTAAAAATCATTCTAGCCATCTTCTTTGTAGTTTGCCTTTGAAAATGCTGAGTAAATTGTTCAATCAAATCTGTAATTCCATGGACCCTTTGCAAAGTCCAGCCACAAACCTCAAAAAGAAAACTCCACACTTGCCATGTGTTATCACAATCACAAAACATATGATCCAATGTTTCTCCATCTGTATAGCACAAATAACATCTATTTGCAAGAGCAACACCTCTTTTCTGTAGAAAATCCAGAGACAGAATTGCTTTGTGTATAACCAACACTGAATGCATTGACCATCTAGGCCTCCCTCTATTCCAACATAAACCAACCCACTCAACCTCCAGATTTCTCAATCTAGCAGCTTCCCAAGCAGCATTAAAACCAAAAGGAGTAATCCACTGGACTGAATCCTCACCTCCAGCAATCAAAAGTTTTCTGAACAGCTGCACCAGATCCTTTGTAGTATTTCGTAATGTGTCTTCATCCCACTGCCCATCTTTAATAAACTCCCTCATACAAATATTTTTATCTCTACTCAAATACCTTAACATCCTGTGATTAAAAAAATCACTCAAGAACTTCCCATCACACCAAGGATCTAAGAAAACTCTTATTTTCTGCCCATTACCTACCTTGAATCTGCAATTAGCTTGTAAAAAATCTCTGATAGCAAGAATACTCTTCCATATTGTTGAATTAGTTCCTTTAAGAATAACTTTCCAAAAGGAAGATCTCCTCAAGTAACAATACTGAAACCATGCTACCCAAATTCTATCTTTTGATAGAAGAAAATCACAACCAAGACATATTTTAGCAGCTATGTCAATATCTGCAATCCTTCTCAACCCAAATCCACCTTCCTCTTTCGGCACTGTGACTTATTCCACCTAATACCATGAATTTTTTTTATGTTTTCCACATGTCCCCAATTGAAGTTCCTCATTCTTCTCTCAATGATATTTGAAACAACCACAGGTAAAGAATAAATTGAAGCCTAATATTGTACCATTGGGATAATGACAACTCTGCTTAATTCCACTCTACTTGCCATAGAAACGTGCATCCCACCATTTTGAAATTATAGCTATAATGTAATGACTCGGTCATTTTCCTTCCTTTCCTTTTTCTCAAATTTTCACGGATATTTTTTTTCCCGTTGATCTTTTCCTTTCTGAGTTCGGTTTCTCGTCACTTAGTGTCATCTTGAGTGCTCGGGAATGATTTTTGAGACTCTTTTATTTGGATTGATAACTACCTTTGAGGACTAAGTCATTTCTATATTTTCACTTTTTGATACTATTCACTTTTCGTCCTTTTCCCTATTTTGTCTTTTCCCCGTTTGTCACTTTTTGGCACAACCTTACTTTTTGTGCTCGGAGTTGGTTTTTGACTTCACGTATCTTTATTCTAAGTGGTTTCCACGAAATACGTATCTTTACTTTTGTAGAAAAGTACTCTGGTTGCTCCCGGTGTCCACAGGGGTATGGATGAACAGCTCTTCAGAAATATTTTTTTTTCTTGGGGGTGTTTTTCGTAAATATCTTTTGAAGATATTTTATTTCAGGGATTTTTAAGAAAATATTTTTGGAAGATATTTTCATTCTGGGTCATTAGTGCAATTATCACTTTTTGGAAGGACCATTGTGCAATTAATGAAAGTTATTGTAAAATGACTTGTTTTGAGCCTAAATCCTCGTACATGATTCATTTTCACTTTTCGTCAAGTCGTGTACTTATAGAATTTCCTTATAGTCGTTTTTCCCCAGTTTTAGGCTTTTTGGCACCGGTTGCCGCCGAACTTGTTCGGGGCATATCTATTTGCTTGGGACTCAGTTTTTGACACCGTGTCTTTCATTGTTCATCTTTTCTCAGTTTAGTTCTTTTTTGTTCATGGATTTTTCCCGTTTGAGCGCGTCTACTCAAATTCCACTTTTCTAGACCCGGCGGGGACCTTTCTGGGCACTTTTAGGATTTTACTATAAATAGAATGTCTTAAAGTGAAAAATCACTTTTTCCATCTTCTTCCTCCCTCTTGGCCGGCAGCCATCGAAGCCCATGGGGCTGCCACCTTCTCTCTCTTCTTTTGAGCATTCTCCTTTTGTTAAAAAGTTGTAGTGCCTTTGTGTTTTATGTTTGTCTTGACTACACGCATCTTTCCCCCTTATTAGAATCCATTTTTGGTTATTTTTTGAGTTCGGGTTTGAGGCCAAGTTAGGATTTTGGTATGTCCTCTTTGGAGTTTTATGTTCACCGTGTTGTCCCCGACATAACCTAGGAGTATCGTCGAATTCGGAGTACTTTTCTTTCAGTGGGGATTTGAGATTTTATCTTAAATGGAGGTAGGGGATGTTACAGTCTATATTTTTGTTGTCTTGTATGCTATTGATGCTTATACAACTTGTATGCATGCTTTTGTTCATAATCTAGAATTTAATTTAATTATTTTCTATGTTTAAGATTTAATTCTCATGATAATATTCAACTTAGAATTAAATTGTGGCATGCTAGAAAATTAGACTTTGGTGTGTTTATTAACATATATTAAATTGGGATCATTTAAACAAGAATTACACTTTTTATTTAATAATTATCTTTTGTGCAAGTTTAATTCTCATGGACGTATCTTGTATGAAATTAACTTGTGATATAGTTTTAAATTGAGTCTTGGTATGTTCTTTAACATACTTTAATTTGAGAGCATTTGGATGAATTTGAAAATCTAGAGATTTTAATTAAAAGGATTAATTAGAATCTATTTAATGGTTCCATTGGCTTAATTAAGTTTTTAACTTGGTATTCATGATGACTAGGACTTGTATACTAGCATATATTAATTTGGGACCATTTGAAATTACTTTAGAATTTAGAAATTTAATTATCATGATTTAATTAAATTCTACTTTATTGTTCCATTGGCCTAATTAAGATTTTTAATGAATATATGTAACGACCATGCTATGTTGTTTGATATATATTAATTGTGAATTATTGATTGAGAATTGAAACCTAAAGGAATTAATTAGTTATTAGATTAATTTCCTTTTCTATTGCATTATTGATTAAATCATGTGTTGACATTGATTGTATATTTAAATCTTGATTTTGGACTTGTAATGGATTCATGAGTTTATGTTTTCAATGTTGAATTATATTGTTATAGTGTGTAACAAATCGCACACTGAAGATTCGACATGTGATGTTATTATAGCGTGTAACGAATTGCACTCTGAAGATTTGACATTGTCATCCTATAGTAATTGTGGATTTAAAGCATGTATTGTGTGGTTTGAACCTACTTGTGCATAGAATGTAGTTTCGTACTTTATATATTTCGTACATAAGTTGTTAACTTATTTATTTTGGAGTTACTTAGGACATTGTTACTGAGATATGGCTAGAGTTTGTCTCTAGTACTGGAGGTATGAGTTCTCCCTATTTTATAGTGCCCACTAGGGTGGTATTCCCAGCGGGTTAATGCCCGGAATAACCGTAGTTCTTGGCTTTATCCAAGATTTGATGTCCAATTCTCCCACTACTTGATTTCGCATTCAATTCCAAGTTGACAACCAATATTTAATTGTGACTTGTGGTTTTGGTTATTGGCGATTTAATGTTGTTAAATACATTTATGCATTATGATTTGTAAGGAATTATCACTTGTTTTTAATGTTGTTAAGTACATTTATGCTTTATGATTTTAATGAATCATTGTAAATTGATGTTGTTAAGTACATCTATGCTATAAATGATCAAATGAATAGCCCTGGTCAAATAATATTTGTGTGATCAGATAGCCAAATGGTAAATGCCACGTATCAGCTCTGGAATTATGCTTGAATATCATATTCTCCAAGTACTTATATATAATCTCCCAGATGAGAGCAGGAATAGATATCCAGCAGCTCTGACTCAAACCATATAGAGCCTTCGGAATCCCCTCCCGCCTCTGTATACCATGGCCTGAAAGAAATGCATTAAAATACAGCACAGAATCCAAGAACCAATAGCGGGGATCAACATCAACCCGCTCCGCAAAGATATTGCCTAAATAGGTTGTCTGTGGAGAGAGCGTAGCAACCATAATCATCTCTGAAGGGAAAGCAGTAACGATTGGGTATAATGGCTCCTCGGAGTCAGTGACCACTGGTGAGAGATGGGGACATTGGCAGGCTGCAGCAATAACAGGGATAGATATATCAATGTCCTGACAATCTATAGTCGTATGCATCAATTGACGGTCATCCTCATCCATCCGGAGGTGCTGGAAAAATAGAGCAACCAACCGGGGATATACTGTAGTGTCTGCTGAAGTCATAATAGCATTTATGCCCCTGCGGGTGAGCTCAGCAAATAACCACTGGGTTTGCTCCAACTGGACAAATAACTCTACGTTAAATATATGCTCTAGCTCCAATTTCCTACCGAAGAAATAGGGATCAAGCATTACCCTGACAATAGGGCCCTGCGCATCCATAAAAGATGGCCCTGAAGATTCAGATGTAGATGCAGTAGCCTCAGCCACAGAAGAAAAAGGTTCCTCATCTCGAGATGGAAGAGGCTGTGTAGCCATGGCTACTCTCTTTCGAGTAGGAGTCTTTTGTCTATGCTGCATCTGTAAAAGTGATGAGCGCTGAATATATGCATATTCGATCCCCTAAATATATATGTTAAGGCCTAAAGTGATACTTCTATCCATAATTAGACTATTTTATGTTTAATGTGTGTTTGTAGGTATTTTCCTAGATAAATGGTTAAAACTGGGACTTTATGATGATATCAAAGCTTACAAAGTCATTGCCGGTCATTCAGAGCAAGCTAAGAGCTTAAATGGTGAAGTTTGAAACAATTCAAGCCTCCGAGCTCGAAACCAAGTGTTGAGGCTCAAGCATCACAACAAAGAAGAGAAGAAAAGTCAACAAGGCCCAAATGCTCGAGCCTTGTACCTTGGCGCTCGAGCCTTACCATAGGGTGCTTGAGCCTCAACGAAGGGTGTTTGAGCCTTAACCCTCAAGCTCGAGCATAAGGCGTCAAAAATTAAAGAGTTTATTTAATTGAAAGGCTATACTCCCAGGTCTCGTGCCTCACCTCCAGGATCGAGCACCATCCATTAAGGATCGAGCATTATCTACTGATGCTCGAGCCTTGAGCCCCAAATGCTCGAGCTTGGTACTTAGTGCTTGAGCCCATGAAGCTTGGATCAAGCATTGTTAAAAGAGTTCAACCCCAAAAATATTCTAAGTGTTGAAGAAAAAGACGCTAGCTTCAGAAAATAGTTGAAGAAAATTGGCTAAGTGTCAAAGTGAAGATTGAGCACCATTTATGGAAGCTAGAGCATCCATCCAGAAAGGCTCGAGCCTTGTTCCTTATGCTCGAGCATAAACCCTAAAGCTTGAGCTTCTGTTCCTGAAGCTCGAGCCTTCCATGATATGTCAGATTAAAAGTTGCGGGATTACTCTCTTTACAAGCCGTATCTCATCCCAGTTGGGCCAGAAGACCTAAAAGCCCACCAAATACT